CCCATGGGCTCCAGATCGACCTGGACTCCACCAGACACACGCGCAGGCAGCGGGCTGGAGATAAAAACACATTACAAACACAGCTGGAGAGAAGGCAAAAGGCTGGGACCGTGGTACTGGATAATAATTCCTCTCCGCTGGCAGGAGACAAAGCTGCAGCAGGCTGGGATCGACTTCAACTGGGAGGTAGGCTACGTCTGACGCTGGGTCAGCTTCAGTGTGGTGCTGCTGGGGGGGCGTGGGGCTTTTTAATACATTGCTTCAATCGTTTTTTTTTTGCTTCGCCTTTTGCCGTATTTACTGCCCGATCTCTGTGCCGCACACGAGCCCCAAGGTGCAGGTTACCATAAGATTGCCGTGAAGGTTACTGCAGAACGTGGGTGTTAAACCCCTCGCTCGGCATCTGCAGGTCCTACTGAACTCCGCACGGAGGGACGAGCGCTCTGTTGCCGCAGAAACGCCTAGTCCTACGCAACGCACCTTCACGAATCCTGCCGTGCAAAATGAAATGAAGAACGACGTGTTCATTGAAATAACGCCGGTCGGCTGACTCACGTGGAGAGCTGCAAGGCGCGGAGCTTTTTACAGGATCATCAGCAGCAGATAAATAACAGGGTCCTTTAGAAGTACGTGTAGACGATGTACACATTGCCGCAAAGTCGGCCTATAGGAGCCCAGCGTCCCCCTCCCACTGATATGAGCTCTCCATGGGAGTTTCTGCCTCGGCCCTGGGCAGGGATCAGCAAACTAGACAACCCCCTGGTGGCACTCGTATAGCAACGGTGGTCTTAGCCGTCAACCACTTGCGGCCAACTCCAGGCCTATTTCTTTGCATGTTGATGGAGATTCTGAATGATGTTAGAGCCTCAAATACTTGAGTCACAAATACATGGACTTGAGTCTGCAGTACATAATCCCATGTCGGGAGAGGGCCTGAGCAGATGTCCCCACTATGCAAAGGGTAAACTTACTGCAGTCGTTTGACCTTTTCTATACGCATTATATATAAGGCACAACAGAGACATTTTTTATTGTATCACATGGTGCTTGGGTTAGGGGTATCCAGGGAGAGGCAGACTTAGCAGAGTATGTGCAAGCACCCGGACATTTACGGTGGCTTGAATGTTCTGCTGGAAGGTTTTCGTTGAGGGTTCTGGGACTCGTCTGCCATTTTCAGAATGGAAGCTGCACCACTCTGCTAATCAGCATTTTGTCTCCCCCAAGAGTCTGAAACGTACGTAAGAATCGTGCACTAGAACGCATCCAGCCACATTCTGAGCACTAAACGGACGAGCCAAGTGTATTACAGGATGGGAATCTAGCTGGGAGGTTTAAACACTGGAAAAAAACAAGAAAACTCAGCAAAGCAGCCCCCACGTGTCGCTGGTGTATTTCTGTAGCTGCCTGTGGACTTCTGCTCTCGATCCCTGTAATGCGCTTGGAAGTATCTCAGCTCTCAAGCTGTCATCGAACATTCCCTCACTGGTGTCCCCATTGCGAGCACCACACACTTTCGTCCGGCTGGAGAGAACAGGACAGGTGGACGGCTGGGATGACAGTTCTGTTCGCTCAGGATTCTTGGACCTGCCGTAACGCTGATTCTTCTCAATTCCCAACGTATTCTCTTGTAAATGCCGACAACCAGCAAAGCGAGCTTTCCTTTTTTACCCTCTGCACACCGTATTTTCCATATAATTTTGGCAATGGGGGTGCATGAGATGCACACTCTGTCCCCTCCAAAGCACATAAGTTTCCTTTTACATCAGGGATCCAGTTTCCTCACTGTGTGCCTTCCCAGGCTCTCGGAAAAGGCCACTATTTATACACAAACTTCTTAATGTGGTCTCTGTTTGCACAGACAACAGTCATTTTTTTTAATGACTTCTATACAGTTGTTCAGAAGGAGGAACTGTTCCCCAAGGCTTCCACGTTTCCATCTTCCATGGTGGAACATGCGAGATCTATTTCATGCTGCACTGGAACATCTCCAGCCTCCAACATCTAACAACCGGAGGTCAGTGGAGACATTGAGTGTGTTGGCTGATGGACGGATTAACAGCCAGTGTTAAAAAAACTCAGCGGCCCCCATCAGTGGAATCGAAGCTGGGCTTTGGCACTGCTGGGGGGGGAAGGGGTGTGGTGTCCCACCATGGAATCATGAACACTGTCAGGGCAGCATCCTGACGTAGCCCCTCTCACCTGACGCCAAGCTGGATGTCCATATTCACCATTCGTTTTTAGACAAACGCTGCTGTACCTCAAGCAGACCACAAGTGCTGGCTGTCCTTCCTAAGCAGGGCACAAGTGCTGGCTGTCCTTCCTAAGCAGGCCACAAGTGCTGGCTGTCCTTCCTAAGCAGGGCACAAGTGCCGGCTGTCCTTCCTAAGCAGGGCACAAGTGCTGGCTGTCCTTCCTAAGCAGGCCACAAGTGCTGGCTGTCCTTCCTAAGCAGGCCACAAGTCCCTGCGCCAGTTACAGTTCTCTGGGTCCATTCATTTCACCTGACCTAAGCAGGAAATACATTCTTGTCCTTCGCCAGTGACTGTGTTCAATAATTCCAATCAAAGACATCGCTGTACTTCCTGTTAACCTTTGGGCCAATCGCAGCCTTTTCTGTGAGAACCTGTGAGAGATTGACTTCAAGGTCCGTTATAAACGTGAAGCTTGACGGTGGTCGATCACGGGCCGCGGGGTCAACGTATCGCTCGGCTGGACCTTCCCGGTAAGGTCAGCAGTCACAGGGTGATAATTGGCAAAGAAAATCCCCTTTGCTGCCCCCCCCCCCACCAAAAAAAAAACTGGGCCTGCTGATATCAGCATGCTAAAAGTGACGAGGGCTTAGCATGTCGGACCCTTTCCGCGCTCACATTCATTAAATGACAGAGGTGATTATCAAGCTATTTTCCACCCTTGGTGGAATCTCACCATGGCCTAATTTAAGCCCGCCGTGGCATTTACACTGCTCGTCGCTGGGACAACGGGTGGGGGGCACAGGGCGTGCTGTAGGGTTGAGTGGGTCCATTCACATGACACGACATGATTTACAAGGTATCGGCTTAATGCCCATTCCTCAACCTTGCGACTAAGCCGATGGTTCTGCAGAAACAAGAACAATTCCACCTGCTTCTAACAACCTTTCGGACGCTTGGCCCAAAGCAATCAATGAACCATGTGACGACAAGACAACAGTGTGATTCGACCTGAAAGCAGAACATTATGCAGAGGCGACTCTTGGAACTTCTAAGGTTGGGTGCATATAAGGGGACAACATTCTCATTGGCTGATGATATGTTTCGAATCAGTGAGTGACAAGGGAGGGCACATTTCGGAGGCCAATCAGCTTTCAGCTGGGGCTGGTATGCACCCCTGCAAACAGAAGGAAACAATTTACGAAACAAGTGCAAAAAATTATTACAATGCCCATAGTACTCTTCTGAGCCAGTGGGGGAACGACTCCCTGTTGTAATTTGAGCATCGCCACTGGTAAATGGAATCAACGAGACATTTTTCTATAGATAATCGTTTTTTAGCCCTGTGTCTATTGATTGACCGTGTGATGGCAGATCTTCCCCGTGAACCCCAACAGCTGCTCAGAGCTCGGTTGGTTAGAAGTTCTCCCATTCAGCTTGGTGCTGGAGGCCTTCCGCCCACACCGGCCTGGGGACAGGTTGTTCCCCAAGGGGAGTGCTTCGGTTTCTGCTGACAGATGGAAGTCTGTCCTGGCCTGTCTGCCCCCTGGACCAGGAAGCCCCATCATAACCCTAACCCCCCAACCTCCAGCATCTGTGTGACTGTCTCCATAACCAAGCAGTTCAATCCTTCAGCGGAAGCTCTTTATCGCTGCAAAGATCACGCATATTACTTTGATTAAAGGTACCAGTGTAACTTGATGGATTGGCTCGTTTAATTACAATTTTCTGCTCCTGCAGCAAACATGCTTCCAAGTGTTAAAAAAAAAAAGAAAAGAAGTAATTCAGAGCCTAGCAATTTGCAACGCCTAAGAGGAAACATCCTGACTATTTATTGCGGGCCAACTAAACCAAACCCAAACCCAAGAGTGGAGCTGCTTAGCAACCTACTGGGAATTTAGTGCAGTTTGCCGGGGCCCGCCCTTAACTTCCGAGAGCAACCAGAACTCCGAACTCTTAGTCAACCTTTTTGCTAATCCCACTCAAAGTCAATGTTTAACATTGTGCCGGTATTCCAGCGTCTACCTCATATTACCTTTAAATTCACAGGCCAAAAAAAAAAGCCTGTTGTGGGCAGGCTAATGGGCTGCGGCTAATAGCCAAAAGGCCATTCTCGGGTTCGAGTCACACGAATGGAGCCATGCCAGGAGCCTGGGTGGCATGAAGGTGATCCTTGGAAAGCGGCGGAGCTGGCGTGATGCCCGGGTGTCACTCGGTCCGCCCTCCGGTACAGTCGGCCGTATCAGGTGGCCATAATTATAGCTGGGCAGCATGGATTACAGGGCAAACGTCCAAAATATAAGCAAGGCACATAAACGTGAGGCAGGAATGCAGCCGGCGGAGCGCGGGCACAGCGGGAACAGGCTTAATAAGGGCAAACCGCGAGGGTCCCCATCGCGTGGCCGCATCCACACCTGTCGCGCGGTGGTGTACAGCTGACACTGGGCCCTGCTAAGGTTCAGCTCTTTGAAGCAGGCAGGCAGGAAGAGGGGTTTGGACCAGAGACGATTCCAGGATGTGGGCCTTAGGGAGGCTGAGCCCTCCGAAGAAATACGGGCAGCCCGCAAGTTACGAATGAGATTTACGAAATTTGTAGGTAAGTCAGAGCAATAATGATACACGACACAATAATTACATAACAATAACAATGAAAATACGAGCGACTTCGAGCCGACGGATCGCTGAAGGCGCGCAATGTTCTCATGAGTATCACAAAGCAGTGTATGCGTTGGTTATTATGAAACACTGTATTTAGGTCTAATTTTGAATATTGGCAGTCTGTTCGCAAGTACGAGTTGTCAGATGTTCTAAACCTAGGGACTGTGTATGAAACACTCCCCCCCCCCCCATAAAGTTTGCTGAGCGGTGGGCTTGAAGTGTGTACAGAAACATAGGAAAAATCTATAAATGGTTTTAGAAAAATTATTTTCTGAGGCAAAAAAAATGTCACCCCCCCCCAAAAAAAAAAAGGGTTGCTTATATGTGAGACTCGAACCC